AAAGAGAAAGAAAGCTGCATCTCTTTATTTTATTTTAGCTTATTTACTTACTTATTTATTATGATTTTTTTATTGATTTGAGAGAGAGAGAAACATTGACTTATTGTTCTACTTATTCATGCATTCATTGGTTGATTCTTGCATGTGCCCTGACTGGGGATTAAACCCCCAATATTGAGGTATCGGGACGACGCTCTAACCAACTGAACTACCCGGCTAGGGCCAAGGAAGCTGCATTTCTATGCTAGTGTATCTTTCTTCTGCGGGACCTTTACACCTTGCCTCGTTCCTCCCGTCTCTGCCTCTGTGTGTGTGTCCATCAGTGTGCAAGGGCACAGGACCGCGGGCCCCTACAGCCAGGTCTGTCAGGCACCCACCACGTTACACCTGGAGGAGCGTCCAGGAGGAGGGCTTCCTAAGGAGCGACTATCCAAGTGGGGTTTTCAAGGGTGAATAGGAGTTTCCTGGTGGAGATGGAGGGGCGGTGGGACCTGTGGGTCAAAGTGACTTCATGAAGTAGGGATGGGATCAAAGGATATCTGGAAACCACAGACTTTGTTTTCCTCGATAGTTTTGCCCAAAAGACATTCACATCAATCTTCTGAGAAAACAGTAAAGAGGCAAATCTTTTCTTATTTTAACTCTACCCTCACTGATACTCTGACCCAGTGAGCCTGCAGCCACAGTGGTACCCCAGACCCAGGGCAACTCCCCACTCCTCTCCTGCAGGAGATCCAGCAAGGGGATCATCCCTGCTGCTCTCTGCTTTTCATCTCATTGTCACAGTGAGCTAACCATCACCTTTGAGTGAAGGTCCCATGTGCTGTCTATGTCTTCTTGTTGGATTTTGAGCCCCCAAAGGGCTCCCCGTGACCTCCCCATGCTCCTCCCAGCATGTGGACACCTTCCTTAATTCCCCAGGAGCTGTCATGTGCTCACCCTGTAGGACAAGCACGGTCTAGGAGGGACAGTAGACAAGCTGGCCACTGTTGTGAGATGGCATGAAGCATCCCCCATAAAACAGTGCCAGTGGCCGTCATGAGTGGTGCATTTGATGGTGTTGCTCTAAGTCTGTATTTGTGGGCAAGTTCTGCAGGCACTTTCTACCAGCGCCTGTGTCTCCAGGGGGGGCCGTGGCCACCTGGTTGTGTTACCTGACACACGGCTGCCTCTTCCCCACCAGGAGCATTCATGATCCCGTTCCTCATCCTGCTGGTTGTGGAGGGTGTCCCTTTGCTGTACCTGGAGTTTGCCATCGGGCAGCGACTGCGCAAGGGCAGCGTGGGCGTCTGGAGCTCCATCCACCCAGCCCTGAAAGGCATAGGTACGTGTCTGGGCCCAGTCGTTGGGACCCCTGCCAGGCCCCAGTGTGGGCAGCAAGCACACTTCTTCCTTTTCATCCCTGCTTCCAGGGGACTCACTACCCCCAGCCCTCTGCAAACCCTTCCTTGGCATCTCACAGAAGTGTAGGTGGCAGGGCCCAGGCTGGGGTCATGCCTGGCCACTAAAGCCAGCTGGGCAGCAGAGGCTATCCTGAATCCCGGGTGCCCAGGACCTGGGAATGTGTATACGTGGGGAGAGCTGAGGCCCCCATGCTGCCTACAGCAAGGTTCAGCAAGCACCTGAAGACCACCACTCTGTTTTCTGGAACCCTGAGTCCATTCACACTCAGTCCTCAAGGGGCTCCCCCAGCACAACCTCTTCCTGCTAAGTGCCCAGACCCCAGTGGGGCCCCCCAGTGGGGCCCCCTAGTGGCATCCCCAGCAGTGTTGATTGCCCCCCAGGGATCGCATCCATGTTCGTGTCCTTCATGGTGGGCCTCTACTACAACACCATCATCGCCTGGGTCATGTGGTACTTCTTCAACTCCTTCCAGGATCCCCTTCCTTGGAGCACGTGCCCACTCAACGACAACCTGACAGGTGTGTGCAGGGCAGGGTGGGGTCAGGAGTCGGGGGACAGGATGGCTGGTGGTGCGAGAGCATGTGCACCTCTGAGCATACAGACCGAGTCCATGAGTAGTCACCCTTTGATTTCCTCAAATGCAAAAATCGGAGCACATTTATGGCAACAGGGAATTTTTAACTTTGATTTCCTCAAATGCAAAAATCGGAGCACATTTATGGCAACAGGGAATTTTTAAAAATCACTGTGCCAGAGAAAAGCCCTTAGAAAAGGTGCCTCTACCTCAAGAGGTGGTGCTGGCCAAGATTAAAATGAAGGAAAGGAGGGAGGGACCTGCTGCTCCCTGACCTTATACAGGGGGTGGCCTGATTCTCCACTGTCCCTTCCCACCACATTCCCCAGGGTCTTTTTGAGACCCCCTCCAGGGAAGGGAAGGGGGGAGCAGACCCTCTGCCTGGGGCCTCTGTGGGACACAGGCTGTGTGCTCAGCTCCACAGCTTGCACACATTTGCATCAGGACACAAACTGCATGATCTGTAAGCATGGGTCTAATAAGCAGGAAATGGTCAGTGCACAGTGTGTGTGTGTATGTGTATGCATGTCTAGTGTGCTCACACTTCTGTACACACACATATATGCACATGTGCACATGTTTGCATTCAGGTATGCCCATGGGTACATATGTGTCTTGTGAGTATGTACACCTGTGTGCATGTGCAAATGTGTGAAGGTATGCTCGGGTGCATGCACATGAGCATGTCTGTGTGGGTGTGCACACATGTGTGTACATGCATGCAGCTATGCTTGTGTACATGCACACGTGTCTGTGTGGGTGTGTACATGCATGTCTGTGTGCACTATGTCCCTGGTGTCAGTGAGTTGGGAGCGCAGCATTGCCATGTTCCCCATCCTCCTCCTGGGTTCCCTGTGATCCACACTGATGATGTGAGTGCCCCCTGCAGGCTATGTGGAGGAGTGTGCCCGCAGCTCTTCAGTGGACTACTACTGGTACCGAGAGACCCTCAACATCTCCAACTCCATCAGCAACTCGGGCTCTGTGCAGTGGTGGGTTCTGCTCTGCCTGACCTGTGCCTGGTGTGTCCTCTACGTATGCACCATCCGTGGCATCGAGACCACCGGCAAGGTGAGAGCTGGGCTTCAGGAGCTGCTCCTTAATCAGCTCTGAGGGTCACCACCTGTGTCCAGGAGGGGCCTTTGCTGCCTCCAGCTTGGCCCTGGGGATGTGGTGCTGGCATGGATGGTCCTCAAACCTGTGCTTAAAAAGCTGCAGCAGGAGTGACCCACAGTAGTTCTCTGACTAGGAGGACTGAGTAGTCATCATTACTAATATAGCAGTAGGAAACGTCAGATCTCCCTGCCGTGGGAGCTGGGGGCAGAGGGGTGCCTGGAGGAACAGAGCCAGGGTCCTTTCTTCCTGTGGGTTCTGTCTTCCCCTTCATCCCACTTCTGCCCTGTCCCCAGGCTGTGTACATCACCTCGACGCTGCCCTATGTCGTCCTGACCATCTTCCTCATTCGGGGACTGACGCTAAAGGGAGCCACCAACGGTATCGTCTTCCTCTTCACGCCCAACGTGAGTCTCCCGCTGCCCACCTTGGGGCTCCAGTTCTGTGGGAAAGGCCACCCTGGAGGATGGGCCTCCCACCTGAGACCAGCCCTGGCCAGTCCCAGGCCCCTCAATGCATGCATGCTGGGCCTGTGAGCTTGAGGGAGGCCCTGTGCGGATTGATGGCAACCACCTCCAAGTTATCAGTTACCACCTTTAGGGGGCGTTGTTTGTTCTGACCACCTTCCCAGCAGCCTCAGCTGTCCCCAGCCTCCAGGCTCACATCTCTGCCGTGGGCCACTACCTCCTCGGTTTCCTGTGGCCCCTCGTCCTTGGGGTACCAGCTGAGGGTCTCTGTTTGGCTGCAGATCACGGAGCTGGCCAACCCACTGACTTGGCTGGATGCGGGGGCCCAGGTCTTCTACTCCTTCTCGTTGGCCTTCGGGGGCCTCATCTCCTTCTCCAGCTACAACTCTGTCCAGTGAGTGTGGACAGGGGTTCTGGGCCGGGCAGAGGGCTTGCCTCATGCCCCACGGGATCATGGGGTCCACGGAGCTCCGTGCCAGGGAAGCAGGCTTAGGATCTGTGAGATTTTCACACACTAGGTACCTTAAGCGTTGGCTGTCCTCCCCGTGGTGCCTTGGTCCTGGGGATGATGATCCCTGGTGTGCTCCCCTCCATCCCCTATAGCCCCTTCTGGTTGCCCCTTGGCATCCAGGACCCTAGGTGCCCAGCCACCACAGTCCATCCTGTGCCCCCTATCCCACCCTAGGGGCCTTTGGAGGGAGGAAGTTGTTATCAGTTCATCTCACAAACACTTACAGAGCACCTACTGTGTGCCCTGCATGGAACATGAGGTTCTGTCCTCCTGAGACCTGTGGCTGTGGCCTCTCAGAGAGACAAACAAAATGAGCAGGAGGAGGGGTCCCTGGAGGGGTGTCGGACCAGGCTGGGGTCCTCAGTAGGATGGGCTTGTGTGCAGAAGGTGCAGTGTGAGCACTCAGACAGGTAGGGGGTGAGTGCCAGTGCCTGCTGGCTGCTGGCCGCTGGCCGTGGGGGATGGTCCCAGAGGGTGGGAGCCCAGCAGGGCAGTGGTGAGGCCCGATTTCTCCACACCTGTTACTATCTGACTTTTTGATGAGGTGTCTCACTGTGGTTTTATTTGCATTTCTCTGAGGGCCGAGGGTCTAGGTTTCTGCTGGAAGCATCTAGAACAGCGGTTCTCAACCTGTGGGTCGTGACCCCTTTGGCGATTGAAAGACCCTTTCACAGGGGTCGCCTAAGACCATCCTGCATATCAGATATTTACATTATGATTCATAACAGTAGCAACATTACAGTTATGAAGTAGTAACGAAAATAATTTTATGGTTGGGTCACAACATGAGGAACTGTATTTAAAGGGCCAGAAGGTTGAGAACCACTGATCTAGAAGGATGGGTTAGCATTAACAGTGGGGCCAGTGGGAGAGCTGCTGGGTTGGGTTGGGGAGGTCAGGGGTTGGGTTTTGGACACATTGAGCCAGGGAAGCCTTTAGGCTCTGGGTGGAGATGGGAGCCCGCAGCTGGGAGGAGACAGGACCTGGAGGGACCAGGCGAAGGCAGGGGGGTATGGTGGGATAGGGGGCACAGGAGGTGATGGGAGAGGGGCATGGAGGGGTAGGCCACCTCTTCAGAGCTTTTGGGGTGTGGCTGCGAGGCCCTGGCCCGTCCCAACGACGTGAGGCTGAGTGCTCACTAAGTGCCCACCCTCTGGGTGCAGAGCACCTGCTGACCAAGCAGGAATTGGCACGGGGTTTCCCGCCCAGCTTTGGAGTGTGAAGGCTCTAAAAGTCCCCAGGGCTTTCAGGGGTCTCCAGGCCACCAACTTGCAGTGAAGTGGTAAGAAGGGCAGGAGCAAAGGGCCACTGGCTGAGGGGTGGCCCTCTGGTCACCTCTTGCTGGGTGCAGTCGGGGAAGGACAGCTGGGAGGCTGTGTCCCCTCTCCCGCAGCATCCCAGCAGCTCAGGCTCAGGGCAGGCTCCTTGCCTGTGCTGACGTGGCCGGGCAGGTGGGCACGGTGTCTCGGCCTGCAGTGACCCGATGCCACTCTCATCTGCAGCAACAACTGTGAGATGGACTCGGTGATCGTGTCCGTCATCAACGGCTTCACATCCATGTACGCAGCCACCGTGGTCTACTCCATCATCGGCTTCCGTGCCACAGAACGCTATGACACCTGCTTCAATCAGTGAGTGCTCCTCCTGGCCCACACCCACCTCCGAGGAGCCTGCCAGGCCTGCACCGCCCAGAACCCATGTCAGCCTCACTCTCTTTTCTCTCCAGGAATATCCTGACGCTCATCAACGGGTTCGACTTGCCCGAAGGCTCTGTCACCGAGAAGAACTTCGAGGAATTACAGCAGTGGTACAACGCCACTTACCCCGCAGACTTCGCCCAGCTGCAGTTCCAGACCTGCGACATGAACTCTTTCCTGTCAGAGGTGAGCGCGTCTCTCTGGGGCAGCGCAAGGCAGGGGAGGGGACACCCTTGAGGGTCACTGACCTCCCCCAGGATCTCAGTTCCTGGGGGCCTGTCACCATCCTCATGGCCTGCCCACCTCTGATCCTCCTGCCCCACCCTGGTGCTTGCACCCCTAGGACCCCTCAATCACATACCTGCCCTGCACCTGCTCTAACTGGCTCTAACCAATAATGGGCGATACCTTCAGGGCAGCTATTTAGGGGACTCATGCAGGCCCTGTTGAAGTCATTCGGGGCTCTTAACCTGGCCATGTGGGGTGCATCTCAGGAATCGTCTGTGGGGGTGTGCGCCCTGCCTGTGAGCAGACGGCAGTCTGCATAGCTGTCACATGTCTGTCCAGACAGCTCGGGCCCTGACTGCTGCTGGAAAACGCAATCCCCTTCCTGCCGTTTTAACTAGTTCAGCTTTTAAAAACATAGTTGGGCTGAAGAAACAATGACCGTATTTCACAGGACGGCTCAAAAGAGCCCCATACCTGCACAGTGTGGGCGTAGCCTGTGGAGAGCTGACCAGTATTTGGCAGGGAAGGACGCATGTGACTGAGGCCGGGGGACCTGGGGAGTGACTGCCCTGTGTGGGTGACACTCTGCTTGTCCATGCAGGGCGTGGAGGGCACGGGGCTGGCGTTCATTGTCTTCACGGAGGCCATCACCAAGATGCCCATATCCCCACTGTGGTCCGTGCTCTTCTTCATCATGCTCTTCTGCCTGGGCCTGTCCTCCATGTTCGGGAACATGGAGGGCGTGGTCGTGCCCCTGCAGGACCTCAAAATCTTCCCCAAAAAGTGGCCCAAGGAGGTGCTCACAGGTACACAGGCCAGGGCTTGGCTGGGCAGGCAGGTGGTGAGGACAGGCCTCAGGGGCCATGGGTGGGAGTCAGACGGGAGCTCTGTCCACAGCGACTGTTCTCTGCCCCCAGGTCTCATCTGCCTTGGGTGTTATTTCATCGCCTTCATCTTCACGCTGAACTCCGGCCAGTACTGGCTCACCCTGTTGGACAGCTATGCCGGCTCCATCCCCCTGCTCATCATCGCCTTCTGCGAGATGTTCGCTGTGGTCTACGTGTACGGCGTGGACAGGTAGGAGGGAGTCCGAGGCATGTGGCCGTCTCCAACAGTCATAGGAAACTCGCATCCTGGGATGGGTTGTGTGGGCTCCAGTCCCAGGTGGAACACAGGTGTGCGGACACAGGCCTGAGGGACCGGTGTGGTGTGGGCACAGGTCTGGCACCTGGATGGGTGAGATGGAAAAGAGATGGATCCCAGATGGATGCCCATCCAGAGCATTTGACACTGTACCCCCTCCAGCTTCCAGGTGCTCCCAGACGTAGCAGAGAAGGGTAAGCACAGACCATAGAAGACGGCATAGTCTCAGGGGTGGGAGAGAAGAAACAGCCTCACACATGAAAATGCTGGCGCCTCTGATCTGACCATGTGATTTAAAAACATGTAAACCCACGTGTCCTTAGCAAAGTCAAAAGAGAAATAATTAGCTAGGGAAACAGTTGCCCAGCATGAGGGTGAAGCTCTGGTACAGCAGAAGCCCTCGGCAGGCGAGACGTGACAGAGGGACCAGATAAGGCAGAGGGTGCTCGGTGTCCTGTGGGGCACAGAAGCTGCTTCCAGGGCTGTGGAGCAAGCGGGGTGGGAGGGGAGGTGGAGGACTGACGGGACCGAGATACTAGCTGTGGGTAAGGGGTGTCCCCGTGACCCAGGCGCTGGGTGTTTTATGTCAACTGGGGATCCGTGGCCAGGGAAGCCCTGTGGTAGGTGTGCTCTGGGCCTTTCTCGGGGGAGAGAGGGCTCTGCAGCCAGACCGACACTCAGACAAAGAAGGGGTCTGTGCAGCCCTTCCAGCCATGCTCTTGGCCAAATACTCGGGGTATCACTCCGTTATCCTCGATGTGAGGGGCCCAGAAAATGGCACCATCTCCTTGACAGGAGCTGGACTCGCCACAACTTCAGAAATAAGACAACATGCACAAGCCATCAGGGGTGGGGGATCCCACTTTACGAATCCTGTTCTGTGTCACCACGACACGCGTGTGTAAGGGCACATGCGCAGGAGGCCTGACTCAACCACACAATGCACACTGCTGGGTGGCAGTCACGGAGACGCTGAGGAGCGTGCGGCGGACTCACTGTGCCGTAACCTCAGCACATGCCGGGGATGGAGGCTTAAATGGAAGTGCACAATGTTGTCATGTGGGTGCTGCTATGTGAAGCAGGCATGACTGGCCTGATGCATGCATGTCCTCTGCGAATGGCCAAGGACACTTAGAAGTCAGACACTCGCTGCCGGGGGTCCCAGGCAACTCGGCCTCAAGGAGGCCATATGAGCGGGAGGCTGAGAGCCAGGCATGGCCTCAAGCTGAAGAGACTCGTCACCACACTCCCAGACTCTGCTGGGAACAGGCCTGGGCACCTGTCCTTCTCCAGAAGTGGGCTCACGGGGGTCCTGGACAGTTCACTCTGCTCTGATTTCTGTAGATAAAGTATTTTGTGCAGAAGAGAGTTCGGCACAACTTGGGCAGGGGATAGTGGGGCCTCCAAGGTCAGGGCCACTGCCCGGCTGAGGACGTGGGCTGAGGTTTCCTTCCTTCATTTCCCCCAGAAGTGTTAACCCTTATTTGCAAGAGTGGCTGCCCAGGCTGTGTGAGTCCACAAGTCGGAGCACCTGGGCTGTGGCTCCATAGGGAGGTTTCCAAAGGCCTCCGGCGAGGCTACCACTGCCGGCGGCTTCCCAGGGAAGCGAGCCTTTGCTCAGAGGACAGCTAGAGCTGTGACGGAGAAAGGCAGGGGCAGCACTGTAGGATGGCACCGCGTGTCTGTATGGAGAGGCTGGCCTGCCCTCTGCTTTGGTGGCATTAAAGGCCCAGGATGTCCACCAGCTGATGGCTCCCTTCCGGCCTCTGCTTCCAGGTTCAACAAGGACATCGAGTTTATGATCGGCCACAAGCCCAACATCTTCTGGCAAATCACATGGCGAGTGGTCAGCCCGCTGCTCATGCTGGTCATCTTCCTGTTCTTCTTCGTGATCAACGTCAATAAGGAGCTGATATACAGCGTCTGGGACCCTGCCTATGTGAGCGTGCAGGGACTGCTGGCCGGGGTGGGGGGCATGTCCCCCGTGAGGAGGCATGTGGAGGCAGAGGAGATGGGGGACACATGGGGGGAAAGGGATGTGGGGAAGGTGTGGGGGCAGAGGAAGTAAGGGAGGCATGGAAGACAGAGGAGGTGGGGGAGGTGTGGGAAGCAGGTGTGTGGGGGAGGAGCCTTAGGTCTCCCTTCCCTCCCCCACAAGGACCAGGAGGTGAGAATCTTGGGGAGAAGGGGCACTGTGCCCCTGAAGGAGACCTTGCTGGCTGTCTTTGTGTCTGTTCACCGTGTGGTTGCTCTCTCCACAGGAGGAATTTCCCAAATCCGAGAAGGTCCCATACCCAAGCTGGGCATATGGCGTGGTGGTTATCGTTGCTGGCGTGCCCTGCCTCAGCATCCCTTGCTTTGCCATCTACAAGCTCATCAGGAACCGCTGCCAGAAACAAGAAAGCCAGCAGGGGCTGGTCAGCACCATGTCCACAGCCTCCATAAATGGGGACCTGAAGTACTGAGTGCCCCGCCCACGGCTGCATGTGTGCATGTACAGATGCATGTGTGAGCATGTGCGTGTGCACATGGGTATATGTGTATATATACATAAATGCATGTGTTCATACAGGTGTGCACCTGTGTGAGTGTGCACATAGATGAGAGTATGTATAATGCATGTACGTACATTATATGTATATGTGTACATGTGTGTAAGTCACATGCACATGAGTATGTGTGCACATGTGAGTGTGTATACATGTGCTTCTGTGTATGTGCCTATATGATTTTGTGTACATATGCATGAGTGGTACACACGTGTCAGCACATACATATATATGTATATGAATACATACAAATGTGCATGCGGGTAAGCATGTGTACATGTGTGCATATGCATATGTGTTGGTTCATATGTGTGTGTGCACATGCTAGTTGTGTATTTATAAATGTGTGGTTATGTATGTGGCATGTATAATGTTCTCTGGGCATGTGTGTGCACGTATGTACACATACATGTTGTCCTGCAGCATACATGTCTCCCACGTGGGGCCCAGCTGTCCTCTTGGTTCCCTGCGTCACGGATGTGGTGGGGCCTATGCTCAGGTCCTGCCCTACCTTCCAAGGGGAAGTCAGTCAAAAGCGACAGCAGGAGACGGGAATGTGTTGCTGTCTTGGCTCCTTGGAACAGCCTTGTTGCCCCGCCCCGTCCCTTCGCTGTCCACCCTGTGACCTAGGAGCTCCTGCAGGAATGTTGCAATTTTACCCCGTCTGCAAGAGGCCTCAGGCCCCTAGGCCAGCGAGACCCAGCCGGCAGAGAGTCCCGAGTCTTGGCAATGTTCCAGCTTAATAAATATTAACCCATTTAATTATTGCTTCTGGCTGCCACAAATAGATGACAGTTAAATAAAACTCAACTTGGCATAATTGAAGGCAGAAACACCCTTTGTGTTTTTTTAAGAGGACATTAACTGTGTGAATTTTTAGCCCGATGTTGGAAAAGATGGGTTATAGGGTAACTCAGCTTGGTCACTGCGGTTGAGCACAGCTCATATGTCCTGAGCAATGTCAGGGACCGTGAGCCCCTGCCAGACCGTCCACTTGGGGCTACTTAGTGAAGGGAAGGTCTCCGCCCCATCATGGATGCAACATTCAACCTCAGCCAAAGTCACTTGGCACTTGGGGTGTTTATTTCAATGAACTGGTCACTTCCATTTCCTGTGGAAACATCTGGAAGTTTGAGCTAAAATGGACTTTTTGAGAGTTCTCTGGGCAGGTTCGGGAGAGCTGAGTGGAGGGTGGGACCTGCTGTCACATCCCATCCGTCCACGGGAGATGCCCCACTGCACGCTCCCCTCTCCCAGCGCCTCCTGTGCAACAGCGACCACCGATTTCAGCCCTGAAACCCGGCTGAAAACCTCCAAACACCTCGGCATGTCTGCAGTCCTCTTACACGGCCGGTCACCTGACCACCATGATCTATAGAAACCTCCAGAGGTGGGATGGGAGGCCTGCTCACAGCTCTCCACCGCAGGCCACGTTAGCGCATCCCTGCCCAGGAGGCCCACAGGCCCCACCACGCTCTGGTCCCCACCACCAGGTGCCACTGGCCTCTGTGGGACCTCACCTCCTTCTCTCCACAAAGTTCTGACCCTTGATTGGGAAACGCTCATCAGCATCCGGGGGTGCAGGAGAGGAGAGACTGGGTGGGCTAATCCCATCAGTTCCTGCCCCCTATGAGTGCCTCATTTTACAGATGTGCTAGCTTTGCAAATTGTTAGACATGCAGGTTTTATGAGCATAAAGTGTATAAATAAATCATTGTATTTCATATTCTCAGCCTAACTGTTGTTCAAATGTAGAGGGATGAGCAGAGGGAGCAGCAGAGCCATCTGAAAGGATGGTGCAGAGCTGGGGTTCTGTTTCCAGGGCTTCCTCTGAAGAAGCCACGGCCTGGTGTCCACGGAGCACAGGTGTGGTGGGTGGGGTGGCCCTGTGTGCAGTGGGTGTCACCCTGCCCACCTGCTGCCTGAGGACAGCAGTGGATGTTGAGGGTGGCACTGGGTGCTGAGCGTCAGGGGAAGCTGCAGGGCTAAGAGGAGGAAGCCCATCCTACCCCACCCCCAGCCCTGACCCCAAAGGTCACAATTGTGTGATTCCATTTATATAACATTGTTGAAATGACAACTATAGATTAGCGGTGTCAGGGGTTAGGGAGAGGGTAGAAGTGGAAGGATGGTTGGTGTGTCCATAAGAAGAGACAGGAGGTGCCCTAGCTGGTTTGCTCAGTGGATGGAGCATCGGCCTGCGGACTGAAGGGTCCCAGGTTTGATTCCGGTCAGGGGTGCGTGCCCGGGTTGCCGGCTCGATCCCCAGTGGGTGGTGTGTGGGAGGCAGCCAATCAATGATTCTCTCTTATCATTGATGTTTCTATCTCTTTCGCCCTCTCCTTTCCTCTCTGAAATCAATAAAAATATATTTTAAAAAGAAAGAAAAAGAGACAGGAGGGACCCTCTGGTGATGGACAGGTCCTGAGCTGACATATGGACATCAACATCCCATTGTGATGTTGACAAGATCTTTGCAAGATGTTGCCATTGGGGGAACTGGGTGCATGGCTCTCTGTAGTATTTCTTAGACGATTATCTCAGAATCAAGATAGCCAAGTGTGCCCCAGTCTTGGGGCCCCTGAGTGTCCCCGCAGGGAACAGGGGCCCTTGTTGGAAATGGTTCATTGGTGGTGGCACCTGCGGGCTGTCAGCACCGAGCGTACGAGATCGGAGGGGGCCAGGGAGGGGCTGCGTGCCAGAGCAGGGCCTGGCTGAGTTAGCAATTAACTGGATCTACGGTTTTCCTTTAAATAACAAAAAAAAAATACACCTGAAGGGGAGACTGCTCCTTGCTTCAAGGCCCAGCCGAGGCCCGAGCATTGAGTCTCCAGGGTTCCAGAGACCAGGCATGGCGAGCGCCCCGGGACCAGACCCACCGGGGGACAGCAGCGAGGATGAGAGGCCCAAGTGGGACAACAAGCTCCAGTATCTCCTGAGCTGTGTGGGGTTTGCCGTGGGCCTGGGCAACATCTGGAGGTTCCCGTACCTGTGCCAGAGCCACGGGGGAGGTGAGCCTGTGCCGGCCGCATCCTCAAACAGGACAAGGGGAACGGTCGCACCTTGGCCTGGGTCGTCACTGGTTCCTGCCGGGTGGGAGTGGTCCTTCCGGAAAGAGCGCTACGCCATGGCCCAGGGAGAAACCGTCTGAGGGCATCAGAGCTCTTGGGACCCAGGCGAACCCTTCCAACTCTGCTCCTGCCCAGCCTTGCCTTGGGGTTGCCCCTGTGTCAGACTTGCCAGGCCTTTGGTTCCTGAGTCTTTGCGCAGTCAGCTCCTTGCTCTCTTTGAAAGAGGTTGGGCTTCGAGCATTCCTAAGACAGCAGGTCTCCACAGGAGGCTGCGGGTCTATGAGGAAATGCAGCCTGTTAGAGTCTCTCTCTTTTTTTTTTAATTGATTTTTAGAGAAAGGAATCGGGGTGGGGGGGGGTTGTTGTTGCATTATTTAAGCACTCATTGGTTGATTCTTGTATGTGTCCTGACTGGGGATCAAGACTGCAAAATTGGCATATCCGGACGATGCTGTAATCAGCTGAGCTACCAGCCAGGGCAGTAGAGTCATTTTATTGACAGAAGGACACGACTAAAGCCGTGAGCTTGTCTCTCCTGGGACAGCGTGAACGTGCGTGAGGACTTGAGGGCACAGACAGGCACGAACCACCCCGGGCAGCCGTCATGGATCAGCTCCAGATTTTGTCCCCCGACATGATGAGCAGGGACTTCCCAGCCTGGGCTCATTCTTCTGTGGGGCCCCACCCTCTAGGGGCTGTCCTGCCTCCATGCCAGGTCCACTTGCCTTCCAGGCACCTCTGCTCCTGAGCGACTTGAGGGCTCCCAGAGGGTCCCTCGAGGTGATCACCAGGCCCCAGGAGGTCTCTGGTTGGAAATGTGGGGAGCATCTCTTTGGGCAATTCCTCTGGCCCTTCCTGCCTCGGAAGCGAGGGTCGAAGGAAAGTCTGTGGGTGGGTGGGTGAGCTCTCCCCCCACGCTTTCTGGTCAGGAGCCATCCTTTCCCACTTCCAGGGCAAGCAGGTGGCTGTCCTGGTGGCCACAGGGAGCCAGGGGACAGGGCTGAGTCTGAGGGAAACGGGCAGGAAGGTCTGGGCTCTTCAGGAGCTCCATGGCCCCACTCCGCAGAGCAGAGCAGAGCCGACAAAGGCACTGCTTGACATGGCTTGCCTGGTCATGAGGGCAACACTTCGGTAAAGTTTGCTTATTTTTTCTGAATATAAGAAGGTTCATGGCATGTAGAAATTTTTGGAAATGTAGACGAGATGGAGGAAACTTGCCAGTCACTCGCCCCCCAGAGCTGTCAGAACCTTTATGGGGGTTTGGGGCAAGGCAGCACCTTGAGCCTTGTGTCTCCCGACAGTAAGCCTCCCCCAGGCCCCTCGGAAAGCTCACAACACCATTCTCCCGACAGCCCGGGGAGGCCCAGGGTCTGGGGTGGGAGAGCCGGCCCGGTCTGCAGGCCTTGCAGGCAGAGGCTGCAGGTCCTGATCGTGCTGGGTGCCCGGGTGTGTGGCTCTGGGAGAGGCCAGGGATCCTCTCACACGGCTCAGCCACCAGGACCAAGCTTTCTGTTCCGCTCCTTCCGCTGCACGGCGGCGAGGGACAGAGAGACAGGTCCCACCCCAACATGGGGCACAGCTGGGCAGACAATCTGAGGCACTGACCTTCCCCAGAATTCTGTGTGAATGGGACAACTCCATGGCCCGAGGGAGCCGGTCACCAGGGTCACGGGGTCTCAGTAGGAACAGAACAGCCTATTTGCTGATGAAAGCACCTCCAAAGCACTGACAAGCTGGATGCGGCCAAGTGATTTAAGACAGCAGCACCGGGCCCCACGTGCGCTCCGTCCCCGCTCAGGGAGGCCGTGGTGATCGTCCTGCCCAGGCGCCATGCCCTGCTGACCGCAGCGTCCTTGCAGGGGCCTTCCTCATCCCCTACCTCATCGCCCTGGCCTTCGAGGGGATCCCGCTGTTCCACATCGAGCTCGCCATCGGCCAGCGCCTGCGCAGAGGGAGCGTCGGGGTGTGGAAGGCCATCTCCCCCTACCTGGGCGGAGTCGGTACGCTGCCTTTCTGGGACCCTGCCCATAGCTGCAGGGGAGGGACAGGGTGAGGGCTGCCGTTCCAGGGCGTGGTGGGTTTGCTTGTGATTCAGAACCTGCAGGCAAAGGAGGGACCTGGTGTAAAGATGCAGGGAGACCCCGGCAGCAGTGTCCCTGTGGGAGCCACCCCCAGTCACACTCCGAGGAGGCCCCATTCGGTTCCCCTGAGGACGGACTTGGGTGGAGGGTGTTGCATGGAGTGAGCTCAGGGTGCAGGAGGAGGCAACAGGCTGGCCCCACAGAGCAGCGGCAGGCTGGCCCCACAGAGCAGCGGCAGGCTGTCCCATGTCTTGAGCCCTGTGGGCCTGTGCACACGCTGAGCCCGTGTGCCCCGGAAGCTCATGGTCATGGATGAAGGGGCTGAACAGGGCTTCATAAAATGATGCATCCTCAGCCAGGAGATTCGGCCAGATGTGGGGCAGCAGAAATGGCGGAAGGTGAGTCAAGACAGTCTGTAACAGGGAGGACGGTGACGGTCCGTCGTGTGCCCACAGGGCTGGGCTGCTTCACCGCGTCCTTCCTGATCAGTCTCTACTACAACACCGTCCTGACCTGGGTGCTGTGGTACCTCCTCAACTCCTTCCAGCACCCGCTGCCCTGGAGCACCTGCCCGCTGAACCTCAACCAGACAGGTAGTGCCCGGGACCGGGGGAGTCCACGCCCTGCCTTCGTGCGGAGCCCCTCATGGTCACCCTGAAATAGCTCGTCTGAACTCCGATTCTCTTCTCCCGTGTCTCTGCTCACTGCTGGACCCAGGGGCCCACAGACACGCTCCGCTGTGGGCTCACAGCCACGCTGGGCCCAGTGATGAGAGGGTTAGCAGGGGATGGCGGCGTTGGCTGAATTAGGTTGTTAGGTCCAGACCCCAGCCTAGTGCTGGATCTGACTAGATCTCGGCCACGTGGGAAACGGTCATTGTTTTCAGCAGTTTGCTCACGTTCTCCCCTCCCACCTCTGGTTGGTATGAGCTGGCGTTTCACTCATTCTGAACAATGCTGACTCTGGGTGCCTGACGATAAGTCAGGCCTGGAGGCTCCCTGTGTCCACCCCATTGGCCATGCTGGGCGCCCTGGGCAGAGGAGGGCACCGGTCCAGGGTGCATTATGCACAGTCTCATTCCTGGGTGGAGGATGCAAAGCCCAAATCCCACTTGAGCCCCGAGGCCAGCCCCGTGACCAGACCTCCTGGTTTCAGGGTTCGTGGAGGAGTGCCAGGGCAGCAGCTCCGTCAGCTACTTCTGGTACCGGCAGACGCTGAACATCACGGCTGACATCGACTACAGCGGCTCCATCCAGTGGCGGCTGCTGGTCTGCTTGGCAGCCTGCTGGGCAGTCCTATACCTGTGTGTCATCAGAGGCATCGAATCCACCGGAAAGGTGAGAGCCTGCGGGGCAGACCCTCTCCCTCACTCCCTCCAAGTGCAGAGCCCCCCCTCCCCCCACTGCCGTCAGAGTGGATTTAGAGGCTCTGCTGGGAGAGGTTTGGGCATCAAGACTGTCATATCTCCTTGGAGAATCAATGCCTTTATCCGTACAGAGTGACCGTCCTTACCCTAGTCATAGACTTTGCTCTGAAGTCGATTAAGATATTAACATAGCCACCCAGCCTTCTCTGACCATGTTGACATCCTATGTTTTTCCATTCTGCTTCTTTTAACCTGTTGGAACCTCTGTTTAAAGTGCGTTTCTTGTCCTCGACAGCATGCAGTTGGTCTTGCTTTTCCCCCAATCTAATCTGATGATCCCTGCCTTTTGTGTAGGGTGTTCAGACCGCTTACATTTAATGCAATTATTGATCTGGTTCATATAAGTCTGTCACTTGTGTTTGTTTTGAACTTGTTAGGTCTGTTCTTTGTTTCTTTTTCTTTCTTTTTTGAGTATTCCGCCCCCCCCCCCTCCTTTAATCCTCACCTGAGGATATATTTTTACTTGATTCCAAAGAGAGAGGAAGAGAGAGGGAGAGAAAGAGAAACATCGATATAAGAGAAAAAACATCCATTGGCTGCCTCACACACAATCCCTGAGCAGGGATTGAACTCATAACCTAGGTCTGTGCCCTGACTGGGACTTGAACTTCTGACCCTTTGGTGTGCAGGACGTTGCTTCAACCAACTGAGCCATATCAGCAGGGCCATACCTATCTTTTTAAGTCACTCCGTGCAGGTCCAGGCACCTGCAGACCCCAGCTCCCGGTCGTGGCTGTGCGGCTCTTGCACAGACCCACCCACGTGTGCACCTGGATGCTCCTCAGTGGGCGTGTGGGCATCACAGCTCCTGTCACATGAGGGTCTCCAGACTTGAGAGGACTGGAGTTACTGAGGGTGACGGAGCAGCTGTGAGGCCCAACAAGCCAGCCAGCTACTCCAGACGGCCCAGTTATGAAAGTCCCTAACGATGTGCCAGGGTGACCGCCAAAGTCAGTCTGGGGGGCGGTGAGAAAGGAGATTTATTTTGCCTCGACACCGTGTGTGCAGACTCCTGCCCAAACCGGGCTGAGAGTGGGTGCGGGTGTGGGCAAGAGTGGGACCCCGAGGACCTGAGAGTGGCCAGCCAGGGGGTCGGGGTGGGAAGAGGTGAAGGGAGAACTCAATGCCTGCAGTGTGAACAAGAGGGAGGCCGCCGCACAGGAAGTCAGTGCTTCCCTCAGCTGACCCACAGGCACAAACACCTATGTGAGTCCACTGTGACCACCACAGTGAGCTCCGACCCCTCCAAGCTTGACCGGGTCCCACCCACCACCTCCCCAGTGCCCTCCGCCCTGACCTGACCGGGTCCCGGATGAATGACGGGCCACTGGCCACTGAGGCGTTTCCCCAGCAGGCCTGCCTCTCTAAAGATTTTTATGCGGAACAGATACCATTGAAAAGTCTCACAATCTGGTCTTTCTTTCAGGTAATTTATTTCACAGCCTTGTTCCCCTACCTGGTCCTGACCATCTTCCTTATCAGAGGACTCACCCTGCCCGGCGCGACGGAAGGGTTAATCTACCTGTTCACTCCCAACGTAAGTGGGTCTCAAATGGAAGTCCAGGCACCAGGGAGCACACAAGTAGGGCCACAGCCAAGCCCAGCCCAGCTCATCCCACCCCCTGGCCTCGTGGGGTGAGGAGGAGGAGGAGGGTCAGGGTGAAGGGAGCAGGAGGAGGACACGGTTTGGGGCATGCGGACTTTGGTGCTTGCAGAATGTTGGGCTCAGGGGAGAGGCTGGCTGGGCACCCGCTGTCCCATCCTTAGTGCCCTGGACCCCACACCTCTGAGAACCTCGTCTAGCTGCACAGCCCCACCAGGCAAGGAGCCACGGGACCAAGGGGCCTGCCCACCAGAGCCCACAGCCCTTCTAGACATTCCATGCTCTCCAGATCCCAGCAGCCCCTGGCAGCTTCCTGGGGCTGCACCACACGCCCCAGGCTCCCCAGGCAGTGCCCGCCCCAGGGGAAGGGAAGGGGACATTTGTGTGGAAGTGTGTTTGCCCCCCACCCCCCACCCCCCTGCAGGTGGGAGACTTCAAGTCACTCAAATCCACCAGGTCTGAGAGGAGCAGATCAGCACACCCAGGTTCAAGTTGCTCAGACCCATTTCCAGCCTGAGAGGGTCTGCAGCCAAGTTCTCAGCACCCACGTGTCCCATGTGGACGGGAGCTGTGGGTTCTTTGACACGTCACAGGACGGGAGGCCGAGTTTGCAAGCGGCCCTTCCAAGCACACTCCCTCCTGCATGGTCCTCAACTGCCCCTGGGCCTGAGCAGGTGACGCCACTCATGACCGCTGCCCAGAGGAAGTCCTGGGCAAGCCCTGGGACAGCAGGCGTGGGGCGGGTGGGGTTGGCCTGTGGCACAGGGGCCTCCCGTCTCCCTCCAGATGCAGACCCTCCAGAGCCCCCGGGTGTGGCTGGACGCAGCCACCCAGATATTCTTCTCTCTGTCCTTGGCCTTCGGAGGACACATCGCGTTAGCAAGTTACAACCCGCCCAGGTAGGGCCGGGCTTGGGTTGGTCCCTTCCAACCAAGGTGCCGAGGTGCCGGGCCTATCTCACTAAGCACATCTTTATGGGGCTTCCTGCCTGGGACAGAGGGCAAGCGAAGGCGAACATGAGATGAGACCAGATTCTGGGCATTCCAGCAATTACTGAGTCATCCCCGGGGCCGGAGGTCAGGGCCTCCAGGCAGCCGCCCGCACGTTCCGGAGCCGCTGCTGGAAGAGAGCCCAGATAACCAAACCCAGGAACAAGGCCATAACTGGGGCGGGCACACCAACACAGACCACGCGTGTGGCTCCCGAGGTCGTGGAGCAGAGATGCCACACGTGTCGCCTCTGTAGTCACTAAAGCAGACTAGGCCTCCGCTCTGCAAGGAGCCACAGCCACCTGGTACTCCCGTTACAACCACGGCATCGTAAACTACACAGTGGAGGCCCTGTGACACCCCTAAACTGAATTCCTGTGGTGTCAGTGTTCTCGCCCCTCAGAGCCCGCAGGGGCAGGGGACGGAGGCCAAGGCCAGCTGGGCCCTGGCTGTGTTGACAAGTTACTGTCTCAACTCTCACCCCAGTAGCTCAGTTAGTTCACCCACCTCAGCAGCCTGGAGGCAGGAGGGGCTGGTGAGGAGGGGTAGGCAGGAGGGGCCAAGGCTGTCCTGAGAGCACCAGGAACAGTGCAGAGTTTCTGGGTCACGCACAGGAGGGCCCAGGAGCAGCGTGGGGGCATCCAGATGGGGTGCTGAGGCAGCGCGCTCCCTCCGAGTGTCCTCCCCGAGGGCCTAACCACAGCCAGGCGCTCCATCTGCTCAGGAACGACTGCGAGAAGGACGCAGTGACCATCGCCCTGATCAACAGCATGACCTCCCTCTACGCCTCCATTGCTGTCTTCTCTGTCTTGGGGTTCAAGGCGGCCAATGACTACGGGCACTGCTTGGACAGGTGAGCACAGGGTCCTGGGGCCACCAGATGGGGCCTGCTGCCCTAGGGTCCCACTCAGTGACCTCCTCGTTCCTTAGGGAAGGAGGGGGAGTGTCCCCCAAAGGGTATGTTCACCCAGAACATCGAACGTGACCTGATTTGAAAATAGGGTCTTTGCAGAGAGTGTTGATCAAGATGAGATCATACTGGATAGGGTGCCCCGAATCCAGGAGAGGGTTCTTATATGAGACAGACACACAGGGAGAGGCCGTGTGATGACAAGCAGAGGCTGCAGGGGTACAGCCATGGCCCGGCAAGCCGAGAGCACCAGGAGCTGGAGAGGCAGGAAGGACGCCCCTGAGAGCCGCAGAAGGTGCTCCGCCATGTCCACGCCATGTCCACGGTGCTAACGTGACACTGTTCTGAGGTGCTGGGCCGAGCCTGCAGAGGAAGGAAGAGGACAGACAGTGCTCCCAGGAGGGGCAGAAGGTTCCAGAGGCGCTGCTGGCCTGTGCCTTGGGGGGCAGTGTAATCCCCCGGAGACGTCTGGTGAACGAGAGCTGTTGATCCATTAACTGGGCTAAGGGTCAGCCGGTTGAGCTTCCGGGCGGTGTGTCCTATTCACTGCATTTAGTGACACATCAGTACTGTCCTTGGGGGACATTTAAACAGCAAAATCACCATCAAAAGGCACAAAAGATGTGAAAACCGTGGCCCTAACTGGGCTGTAAGAAGGACCCTGTCCACAGTAGAGGTGAGACAGGAAGGCGGTGCGGGCCTGGCCGGTCTCGGTGGGACATACCGCTCTGAACATGTCTTCAGATACAACAGAAGGGCCACGGTGCTGACTCTGAGGTTACAGATAACTGCAACAAGCAGGCAAACTTGCAAATACAGAAGCACCTACGATACTCCTTTGGGTCAGGAGCCCTGGAGGCGGCGCGAAGCTCTTCCGACTGTGAGGCTAGAGGAGCAGAGCTTGGCCCACCCTCCCCGGGCCTTCAGGGAGCCCTGTGCCCATTGTCGGCTGGGGACCCACAGGTGCAGGAGGCAAGGAGCTGCCACTGCCCAGGGCCAGTTGTACCTACCGGGGAGCGAACCCTCCAGGCCCGCCCTCCACCGGGTGTTCTGGAGACCCTGGCAGCTCCGAGGGGCTGACCCTCACTGGGATGGTCGTGGTCCTTTCTGGGCGTGTTCAGTTGTGGGAGCTGGGCCCACTGAGCGCTTACTCCGCCTCTGTCCCTGCAGGAACATCCTCAGCCTCACCAATGAGTTTGATTTCCCAGACCAGAGCATCTCCAGGGACGAGTACGCTGCTGTCCTCACACACCTGAATGCCACCCAGCCTGAGAGGTTGGCTGGGCTGCACCTGGAGTCCTGCCGTCTGCAAGACTTTCTGGATAAGGTACTGAGGGCCTGGCCTTGCTGCTGACGGCTGGCCAGGGCAGGGCGCCACTGGCTGTGGAGGAGTTGGCAGCTGGGCACAGGGCCCGCTGACCCTCGGGGCCCGTGCAGCAGGCTGAGATGGGCAGGTCCTCGGGGCAGTGGTCTGATGGTGCCTGAGCCCAGTGGCCCGGGTCCCAGGGCACATGCTGGCTGCAGGCTGTTGAAGGCACCTCACCCGAGGCCAGGAGGGTGTCAGGGCACATGTCTGCCAGCGCAGGACATGTTGGTGCGTGTGTCTGAGCATGAGGAGTGTCGGTGTATGTGTCAAGCTTGGGAGCCCGTGCACGTGTGTCCCAGTGCGGCTGTGCGTGTCTTGCAGAGCGCCTCAGGCACGGGCCTGGCCTTCATTGTCTTCACGGAGGCCATCCTGCACATGCCGGGAGCGCCCGCGTGGGCCGTGCTCTTCTTCTCGATGCTGTTCACCTTGGGACTGTCATCCATGTTCGGGAACATCGAGGGTGTCATCACGCCACTCCTGGATATGGGGGTCCTGCCACGGTGGGTCCCCAAGGAGATCCTGACTGGTGAGTGTCCTCGCTGTTCACCTGCCTCTGGTTTCACTCCTACCCACTGTCCAGACACCCTCCTCCATGAGGGCTCGAGGGTCGTGTCCGTCTCATGGAGGGCGGGGTCAGCCTTGTCACCTCTCAGGGCTGGTCCCATTGGCCCTATACTGACTCCCAAGGGCCATGATGGGGAGCGGAACAGGGCTGGATCAGGGATCCCCTCTCACACTGCCCTCTGAGGCCAGTCCCAGCAAACTCCTGCCCTCTGGGCACAGTTCAGGAATTGGCGGGGACAAGCAGACAGGGGGAGGGTGGGAGAGCTGGGCGGGCAGCAGCAGGGCGGCTTGCGAGGCATGAGTGTGTGTGCCCGCAGGGACGGTCTGCCTGCTCTGCTTCCTCGTGGCAACCTGCTTCACACTGCAGTCCGGGAACTACTGGCTCGAGGTTTTCGACAAATACGCTGCTTCCCTGAACCTGATCATCTTCGCCTTCTTCGAGGTGATTGGCGTCGTCTATGTTTATGGGATGGAACGGTGAGTTCCACTTCCTTTGGCGTCGGCTGGGGCTGGGGTCCTGCCCCTCTGTCCCCAGCATCCCTCATATACAATGTCTGGGCATCGTGGCTGCCAGTCTCCAGGGCAGCTACAGGGATGAGACAGAATCATCTGAGGCCCCTCCCAAGAGTGGCGCCCAGGTATCCACAGAAGCCCCCACAGGACCCACCCATGTGTCTGTACCAGCCTCCCAGACTGTGGGGAGACAAGAAACAAAATGGCTAGTTTCCAGCCAGGTGGGGCAGACTCCTCAAGTACAAGGATAGGTAGACGCTAGGGCACAGGAGGCCCAGATGCCCTCCTGGAGGCCTCCGAGAAGGCTTAGCACCTGTCCTACCCATCTCTACCTGGCTCAGGCCTGCTGCATACTTGTCACTCACACCTTCACTCACATCTTCACTCACACCTGGACTCACACCTGCATTTGCACCTGTAACTTGCACCTGCCACACACACACTCAGACCTGCACTCACACCTGCCACCCCTGACCACAGCCTTGCCCGAGTGGCCCTAAAGGTTGTACTCTCTGTCCTTGGTAACAAGGAATATGGGAAGTCACAAATCCAGGGCCTTCCCCCCGCTCTGTGGGCACAGGGGCCAGCGTGCTTGTCCTGAGGTGAGACACTGCCCACCTGGAGAGGAGCAAGTGAGAGGCAGCTGTCTGGCAGGGGCCTGACCTGGTAATGGGGGATGGACAGTGAGCCCTGGACTTCAGCCAGCTGTGGGATCTTGGGAAACACCTGGAGTGGAGCTGGGCTGGAGGGAGCAAGCAGAGGGAGGGCCTCAGGGGGTCCTGCCCTTCCATTGGCTTCTAGATGCAGCTGCTGTACATTCGGGGTCAATGCTGTCCAGGTCCCTTCTCCACCCTGGGCACTGAGGGCACCAGGTCAGGCACCTGCTTCCTTCTCACAGCTGGGCTGGCAGGGGCTTTGCTGCTTCTCACCCAGCAGCTGAACCTCCCAGGGGTGGAACTCAGTTTCTGCCCAGAGGCACCCTCACCCAGGGGCCAGGCTGGGGCTGGGCTGACCTCCTCCTTGCTGACTGGCACAGGCAAGGAGCCCCTCAAGCATCCCCTGCCCAGTCCCCTTCCTCGGCCGGACTGACCTCGCTCAGGACATTTCCACTTATCGATGGGCGTTGAGTCCTCATCAGGATCTGAGAGGGCTGCCCGTCGGGTGGCTACTCAGGAAGCCATGGGGGCAAAGGATGGCATGGAGTGGGGGACAGCCCCTCAGGCCACATCTTGGTGACACTGGATGAAGCTGCTGGCGCAGCATGTGGGCTTGCAGACATGGGGCCCAGTGGGGAAACCTAAGCCCAATGTCTCTGGCAGGTTCTGTGACGACATTGAATGGATGACCGGGAGGCGGCCTGGCCTCTACTGGCGTGTGACCTGGAAGGTCATCAGCCCCCTGCTGCTGCTGACCATCTTCGTGGCTTATATTATCTATCAGGTCTGGACAGCTCTGAGCAACAATGGCCGAGAACTCCCAATACGTAGGTCCTTCGGATGGGGACCCAGGGACCCTGGGATCTGCCTCGGGCCTGGGCCTGGCCCGCTCTGGTGCTCCCAAGCCCAGATGACATTCATGGTGGACAAGTGTACCCTAAGTGACCCTTGTGGCTGCCTTTTGCTGTGTCATCCGAGTCAGGAGGCCCCGAGAGTGCCCTGGAGCATCAGAGTGACTCAGGCAGCCGGACAGCCTCAGCCAGTAGCAGGAGGACAAGCAGTTTCCAGACTCTGGTGACATCACAGGTCCCCCCCTATAGCCCCGCACACAGAGGTGTAGCCTCCAGCCGCACTTCCCAAGTGCTGTGAGGACAAGCTCCTCACACTGCCCACTCCTAGTCTGAGATGAGAGAAGGTGCATGTAGCACGTGTCACTGAACTGCCACCAAGCCCTGTCCGAGGGCTGAGCCATGTGGCCCGGCTGACCTGCCACCCCGTTGAGCCACTCTGAACCTCACTGTGCCCCTGTGGGGAGCATGGAAGCAATTCCGTCCAAATCCCCCTTTGGAAAGGGGAGCTGCCCAAGATACCATGGGCAGGAGAAGGAGACATGGAGCTGTTTCTCAAAGAATTTTTGTGAATATTATCCTATTAGGTTCATACAGTAGTGCCTTGTGAACCTCAAAGGAAGGACCTGAAGTTGGCGTGTTGTCTCGTTCCCCAACAGAGGGGACAGAGGGGGTCCCAGGGCCTAATGATGCCCCGTGGGTCAGGCCGAGGCAACGTCGCGATGGTGGGTTCCCTCGGGTGCACAGGGTGGCTCTTTTCAGAACACAGCCCCTTAGGTTCCCAGCCTGTCTCTCAGAGCCCAGCCCCCACAGGAGGCTCGGCCCACGTCCTGTCTTAAGCCTTCATCCCACTGTGCCCTCACTGCTCAGGGAGCAGCCTCTGGCCCCGTGTCTTTTCCATTCATCCACCTGGAATGAACCAACCTGCTGCTTCATTTCAGGAAGAGATTGGGGGAAGCTGCCCACCCAGCACATTCACTTGGCTGTGGGTCAGCCTCGCTCTGCCCCGGTGGTGGGTCGGGGGGGACGCTGCCCCCTCCCTCGGACACTCACCCTGTGGCCTTGTGTCTCTGCAGAAGCAGTTCCCCTCGCGGCAGGAGAAGTCCTACCCGGGCTGGGTGCAGGCCATCTGTGGGCTCCTGTCCTTCTTGCCTGCACTGTTGGTCCCGGGAGTTGCGATGGCCCAGCTGCCCATCTGGCGCAGGCGGAAGCAGAAGAATGTGCAGCAGAACATGCGCCTGAAGCTGCAGGACAGCAAGGTCTCCGACAGCGAGATCCGCTGAGGGCGGGAGGTCCTGGCCTGTATGCTCTCGCTCACAGATCACCCGACCCCATTATACTCACCGACCCCGAGACCTGTGGTTATTGCTTCCAGACACTCTCACGCCTCCGACCCTCTCAGCACGCAGCCCAGCTTAGACATCACCGTCCATGCTGTTCGCCACATGGGAGAAAGCCCGGCATCTGGTGCCTGGGGCCCTGCGGGCTGGGGTCCTGCACAGCACTGTCTGGGTGACCATAGATGCACCTGGCAGATCCATGGGCAAAGTGGCAGGAGGTCCTGCTGCCAAGCAGGCCAGAGGAGGGGGTCCTGAGGAAGCCACATCCACACCCTTTACACTGGCCTTGCGCCACGTGGGTGGTGGGAATTTCAGGCTGATCTCCAAGGCGAAGTGAATGAGTCCCTGCCTGCAGCAGCCCCTGAACCTAGCGCACTCAGGTCATGGGGACCGTCTGCCATGGCCACGCAGGCAAAGGGAACCATGCAGGCAGCAGGACACGGGTTTGTCTCAGGCGAGGTGGGCAGCCTGATATGGAGAATCGTCCCAGGGAACCCATGGCCTCCCCAGGACCCAAGGACAGACCCTCTTCGAGGGAGGAGTGAGCCCTGTCAGGGAGCTGGGGCTGCCTGGCTGCTCCTGCGGTTTTATCAGAAACACTGCCATTAGTCCTTTTAAAACTTTCTCAGACTGAAATGTGTGTCAAGAAGGTACAGAAAGGCCGATTATCATTCAGGTTCCCACTGTCTCCAGGGCGGGCAACATCACTCCCAGCCGCTCCCTCACTCCCCGTCACTCCTCTGTGCTGGTGCCAGTGCTGGTGGTGCCAGGCACCAAGCCCTCCTGCAGCCCACAGCCAGGACCTGCCTGCACTAGAGCCCTCAGCACAGTGCCTCTTGCCCAGCTCCTCACCTGCCCACCCGCCCTCCTCCCCCTCCTCTCCACCGGTACAGAGCCAGGGGTCAGGTCCAGGAGCTGAGCCCTGACACACAGGCTTGTTTCTGACCTGCCACCCCAAGACCATCATGTCCTTGGCTACGTGCTGCTGGGAACAGCCCCCATGAAGACCCCGCACACGCCTAAGTGCCTTTTGAATCAATCCCATTGGGCTAACACTGTCCAGGGTGCTGAAAACCCCAGACAGCAAGTTTTTGTTTTTTTAAAAAATATATTTCTTGCCTCTGTTGGGAGCCATCTGTGCCCACAGCCAGCCCAGACCTGGCAAACAGAACATGAACGACTGATGCTCAAGGGCAGCTGGGTATGAAAATGGACTGAATTCAAGGGTACCCCAAAGTGTGTGGTAAGCCCCACAGTTGGGCGAGTCCTGACATTTGCCCCTTCCTCTATCAAAAAACCAGCAATGGCCAGAGTCTTTCTCCAGTGGCATCTCTCTGACACTGTCTCTCAGCCTTTTAGGGACCCTGTGATCACATTGGTTCTCCTAGATAATCCAGAATCATCTCCCATTTCAGTCCGCTGATTTGTTACCTAATATCCCTTGCAGGTTTCGGGATTAGGGCGTGGGCCACATTGGGGGTCATTGTTCTGCCCCTCACAGCGCTGGGGCGTTCTGAGCCCACCCAGGTTTGGGACCCCTTCACAGCCAGGCATGCACACGGGCAAGGGAGGGGCAAGGTCATGGGACTGGGGTATAACCACTGAGCCCTTGGGGGTCCTGGAGCGTCATCTGCTTTCACCCTTGCATCCTGGTTGCTCCTTTCACAGCTTCACTCCACTTGCTCCACACACATCTGTGGGATGCAGGCGCAAACGGGCTCCTGTTCATGCGGTTTAGTTCTAGGGAAGACCAGCAATCCTTTTTTTAAAAAGTTTATTGTTTTCACACTTCACCCTGAGTTTGACAGACTGCACAGCGGTTTTGAGAAAAGAGATAAATCAGAAATTCTCAGCGAGTGAAGCCTGACCACAGTGTGCGCCCTTCTCAAGGGCTAACACTTGGGTAAAGGTGCACGTGACTGAGTAAAGCTGCCACAGGACGTATTTCCTAGAGAACAAGATTCTACAGCTTCTAGGAGACGGATAACGGAGCCAGAGCTGACCTCCGGGGCCCAATCTGCTATGGACATGCCCGAAACGCCCAGGGTGCCGTGAGTCTGGGGTAGCCAGCGAGGGTCAGCTCAGGTGCCTGTCCCACCCCAGACTTGCTGAACTATAAACTTGCGGGGACAGCACCCCAACTATGTGTAGTTCAGGCGCCAAGGAACCCAGAGCTCAGGTTGAAATCTGCTGTCTCAGGTGCCTGCGGGGCCCGGTTGGGCCCGGTCCTACCTGCCCCGAGTGTCCTCCACCCTGAGCTGTCCTCCCGAGTTTGCGATAGTGAGGGCACTGCAGGCTGGCGCCCAGGGTGGGGCTGAGCCTCTCACTGCTCATTTCTCCTGGGCATTTACGATGCCCGTGGTGGACTTGGGTCAGCCATAAACGCATAGTTACTTGAACGCTCGCCGCAGTAGCAGTAAACAAGGCAATATCCATAAACTTCGACCGCAGCACACACGCAACCCCTCCCAGGTACACTCAACGGCACCTGTCACGTTTTGTGGCCCCATTAGGGACATCCGGAAGGAAGCCTCCAAAGTGCTCACCACTCCACCCCAGCGCCAACTCCCCTGGTGGGGACTGTTTGTTTTTTTTTCCCCGATGACACCTCCTTTGAGCTGCCACCCTTCCTGTTGTTCTTTGTGCAATCCTTCCAGCTGTCGGTCCAAGGCCCTGCATAGCCCACTGGTGCACAGCGTGCCCCCCACAGAGGTCCAAACAGGCCTGCTGAGGGTCTCCCACTCAAGGGGTCATTTCCACAAAGAGGACCTAACTCCGGCTCCTTTTCCTGATGACACCTGCCACTCCGCGGACAAGCCCTTCTCTCACTGGGGCTCCTCACAGGGACTGGAGGACAGGGTGGACCCAGAGGTGGGGATCGGGTCAGGGACGTGGTGGGTATGGAGGCTCTGGTGAGGCTGTGAGGGTGGCCCCTCCTCCCCATCACCAAGGCCCCAGACTGCCCACTCCCATACAAGCTCCTCCGGGATGCCAGTCACCCACGTCCCCATAACCTCGCCCTCCACCCTCCTCCAACTCCTGACCATGGACCAAGCAAGCAGCTGTCTGCTCTCCTGGCCACTGCATAGAAGAGCCCCAAGACCAGCCCCCAAACCTCCCAGTGCCCCCAGCAGTGGTTCTGTGTGGGGCCCTCACCCCACCAGTCAGCAGTATCAGGAACTTGCTAAAAGTGAAAATTCTCAGGTCCCACCCCAGACCTGAACTATAAACTTGGGGGACAGGACCCCAAGTATGTGTGGTTCCAGCACCAAAACCCAGAGCTCAGGTTGAAATCTGCTGCCCCGAGAGCTCCCAGGTCACCTCCAAGCTGAGCCAGTGCAGTCAGGGTAGGCAGGGGAGGGTGCTGGGCTGGGGCCTTCCCGCCCACCGGCATGCTGCACCTGCCCTGTGGGAGCGCCCTTCCCATCTACCCACTTCCGCCCTCCCTCCCACATCTCCACCCCAGGAGGACCGCCCCCCACCCCGGGCCCCGCCAAACCAAGGGCCCATGCACATCAACTCAATACTCGTGTTTATATAGATAACAATACTTACCTGGTGCATATTTTAATACAAACATAAGAGAAATATTTAAAAACTAAGAAAATATACAAAGGCTCTTCTCTCACCCCATCCCTGGGGTGGGGGCAGGAGGTAGTGCAGGAGGGGCCACGCGGGGCTGTGAGCTGAGTGGGGCCAGCAGAAGACTCCGGAAGTGGAAGTGGCAAGTGGGGGCGGGTCGGGGGGTGCTGTATGCTTGGCTCCAGGAGGCCTGGGCAGGGCATGGGGACACGCAGGTCAGAAGCGTGGGTGTGGATGGTGGGGAACGGGCTCAAACAGCTGACTGGGCCCTTTGCTTCTGGGCAAGTTCGTTGAGACATGGACTTTGGATGCAGCTGGGGGGCCAGCTGGGGGAATGCTGCTCCAGCGGGTGTGGACGGCTTGAGTCACAGCCGATCAGCAGGAAGGAGGTCACACACACCCACCACACGTGGGCCATCACTGCAGACCAGGGTGACCCCGCAGCAAGGAGGGTGACAAAGGTCCCTGATGCTTCCCTTCCAGATGCCAACGCCCCAACCAGGCTCCCGTACCTGCCTCCTCCTGGCAGCGGGCAGCTGAAGGACAAACCTGTCACTAGAAAGGGGCGGTGGGGGTGGGGCTGGGTGGGCTCTGCTTCCTCGATGACTTGGGGGCGACCCCCTCCAGGGAGCAGCCCAGCCAGCAGCACAGGTCCGGGTCTCGGGGCACAGGGGCCAGACCCTCTGGGTGGACGCAGCTGGGAATGAGCTCGAGGGCCTGTGAGAAACTGACTGGACATCAGTCCAAGATGGTCCTGAAGTCTGTGGTCAGGGCTGGGTCGGCTGCGGCCTCCAGGGTGGCCAGCGTCGCCCTCGGGAGCTGCCGGCACAGCTGCGCTTGGGCTGCAAGATGACTGAGATCAGACCTCTTCCCAGAGGGAAGCAGAGAATGTTCACCTCAGCCTCCTGGACCCACTAAGGGGCAGGAAGAGACGGCTGAGTCCTGAGCGCCCACTGTGTGCAGGTCAGGCTCCAGGCTCATGGCCGAGGAACAGACAGGGACCAGTAAGGATGTCAGAGCACGGAGGAGAGGGGGTGCAGCCAGGACACAGGCCAGGGGTGGGAGGAAGGGCACTCAGACCAGCGGGGCTGGAGGAAAGGGAGACGCAGTTCCCGCGGGAAATGTCGGCCTTGGATGGGAGCGGGGAGAGGTGGAGCGACTGAGTGGGCATGCCAGGCCCCCCAGGTGAGGGAGGCAGGACCCTCGAGCCACCTGCACACTCCTGTTCCCACCACCCCTGTTACTCAGACACAGAGGGGTGGACAACTGCTCACTCAAGGACAAGGATAGGCCCTGTACCTGCACAAGAGATGCCTTGGGGCGGGCACTCTGCCCAAGCTTACCAGTCTGGAGTGCTCCCAGGAGACACCTGTAGGTGGCGCTGTGGCGAGACAGCTTCAGCAGGAAGGCGTGAAAGCACAGCCACCTTGCGGCTTCAGAGGGAAATGGGCCTGCAGCGCCCTTGGTCCCCAGAGGCATCCCTGGGAACAACACATGCAGAGGCTGACACCCTCACTGGCCGTGTCCCAGTGCTCCTCCCAGGAGAGACCTGTGCTCCCGTGGACACCAGGGGTCCCTGCCGGGCTGAGTGCAGGAGCGGGGTCCTAACAGGGACTTTGTTTCAGGGGCCACCCAACAACAGGGTACACCCAATTCTGACAACTGAAATGTTTTCAATTTCTTCAAAGAAACTTCCTCAAAACAGAAATAAACAGAAAGTCAAGTCGGTCAAGCTCAGGACCACAAAGACACAGCACAACCTGAACTGAGGCTGATTATGACTGTGCATGATGAGGCTGTGGAGCAGAGACGGGGCGAAGTGGATGGTGTGGGTGTCCCTCCCCACTCCACCCAAGACAGGCAGGGGACTTGGGGCCCAGCCTCCTCCTGACTACTGCCTGGATTTGTGCAAGCTCCCCCTGAGCACCAGAGAGGAGGCCCTGCCCGGGAGAAGGCAGCTCCCAAATGTCCCCTCGCGTTCCAATCAGGACAGACGTCTGCCCACACAGCAGAGGGTGGGTGACAGGTCAGCTAGTGCTCAGCAAGTTAAACCGGCCGGAAGTGTCGAGAGCCCAATTCCCTGAATCCTGCCTCCGCTACACCAGGGCCGGAGCTGATCCAGCCACAGCGCTCATGGAGCACAGGCAGCTCCATGCTGGAATCGTGAGGTGAGCATTTGCCAGCACCACAGGCCACCCCAGCCCTGGGTCGCTTGCACCCACCTGGATTCTTGGCTTTCAGAAGGGTGTGGCAGCGTGACGCGGTGTCAGAGATGACGCGGAGGAAAAACGAGGGGTTCTTCCGAACGTGCTGATTAAACGGGAGCTGGAGCACACAGGCGTGGAACCTGAGGAAGGTCAGGTTTATCAGAGGAAAGTCCCGCGGCTGCAACATGTGCACGAGCAGGTGTGTATGTCTACAGGGGCCGGTGTGGACATTCCCTGGGCCCCTTCCAAACAACGTGCATGTGTGTCCATCAGCCGGCAATCTGACCGCTCCCTCACCCTCACTCTGTTAAGGTGGAGGTATCTTCCCCACTCATGGGAGGGGGGAGCCAGGCCTGGAAACTGGGTGGGGGCCATGCCCCTGGCCTGGAAGGGGACCGTATTCTGCAGTTGGAGGACCCTCTCCCAAAGGAGGGGTGGTGCTCAATGCAGGGTGGGGAGAGGCCTCCACTAGTGAATATCACGTCTGCGAAAGATTCCAACCTGAAGCCCACGCTTGTCCAAAAAGGCTGAGCCCGGCAGGTCCTCAGACCGCCCGGTGAGTGTCCTGCTCCGAGTGCCAGGACATTCCCTGGGCTCCATGCTGCAGCCCTGGCTGCTATGGCCATCACGGTCCAGCTTTACGTACCCCCTCCTGCAGGGGAGGCACGGGCAGCCCCACATGCCTAACCTTCCACATTGGGAAGCAGCTAACTGTCACGCGGTGGAGAAGGCAGCTCGGCACCCACTGTTGCTCTGGGACTGCGCTCCCTGAATGAGGAGCATGGAGCTGCCCCAGGTGCCCGCTCTGTACCCAGGTCACTACACCATTCCCCGGCAGGCAGGTGTCTGCGGCCAGGGCCCCACAGAGCGAGGGGACACAAGGGTGAGGCTGGGCTGAACACCAGAGCAAGACCTTCAGCAGGCAAGGTGGCCTCCAAGGACTGGGGCTGGTCAGGGGCTGGCCTCATGCTGACCTGGAAGCATCACCTGACTGCTCCTCACCCCGTGAGGGCCCGAGAAGTGAGAGGGTGTACACCCG